AGACGCTGACCTCCAACAAAAAGAAGAAGTAATTTTATCGGAATACAAAAGTTTTTTCTTTTCGAAATCCGAATAGAAAGGGTACAGGTATTCGAATACAACATGTACCTTTTCAATTCGAGGAACTCTGCTATTCGAGAAAAGTGGACCCGCACCGTTTCAATTTTGAAAATTTGAAAAAGGACTGCAGCCTCCTCGGCCTCCTACGCGCAGCTACCGGTCCTACGCGGTCCTGGACCAAATCCCGTGCGGTCCCACGGGCAGCTACCGGTCCTGCAGTTTCAAATAAGATGCCACCACCCCCTAAACTGCCATGCCTTGCTTTTCCAGCCTTCCAACGACCGTATAATGAACGACGACGAAAAATGTTCTGGGGGGGGAAAACGCATTCCTGACGGGCTGCGAACTAAAATTCCATTTTGCCATTCACCCGGTTTTCCACTCTACCCGTACCCCTTGTGAAACAGCACTCAGCACTACTGGTAAGAGGTTTTTTGCGTCAGGGGGAGTGGTGGTAGGGCTGGAGCGTACCTGGCAAGAAAAAAAAAAAAAAAAAAAAAATTCTTTTTTCCCGCCCTTCCGTTCAAGGATTGGTGCTGCCCGTTTGAGGATTGGCCCTGGGGCTGAAGGGCGACGTTTTGAAGTGTAGGTTGAAGGGAATGTGGAGCGACAGAGTAGGTTGAAGGGAATGTGGAACGACAGAGTAGGTTGAAGGGTATGTGGAATGATAAGACGATTAGGGCACCCTTGAAACTCAAGTATTTTCGAGTGTCCTCACTCTGCCTCCCCTCCGGTTCCCTCCCCCTACCGACATCAGCTCTCTGCTCAATGCCTCTCGGGGGGATCAACCGCGTATCTCTAGGTGGCCAGCGGCAAGCTTGCCCAGGAAAGGAAAGTGGATGCCACTTGCGTGCCTTACCAGCTGAGCTACTCGCCGCTGGATATTCTGGCACGCATAGGGAGTGCCGAGAGACTTGGAGGAGGAAAAATTCCAGTCCCACCTGGCAGAGAAGAAAAGCGCGCGCTACCGTAGCAGGGCCGCCCCCGCCCCCGCCCCCGCCCCCCGCCCACTCGGGAATTCGCGGGAAATACGCGGGAGTTTCGGATTCGGACGGGAGTTTTGAATCTCTTTTGCCGCCCACCCGCCCATGTCTCCTGTGGGTGGCCACGCCGCCGTGCATGCAGCATTTTTTTTAGGTGGGGTGATCTGGGCGGGAGGTTTCACGTTGCCTTCATCTCGTTCGGCCGATTTTATTGTTTATATTCCCCAAATGCGTCAAACAAATATAACGCTGCCATCTCTGTCTGTCTTTCTGTGCTCTCTTCTCTCTCTCTCTCTCTCTCTCTCTCTCTCTGTGTCTCTGTGTGACTGTATGCGGCGCGCTTGCGTTCGAGGGTGCGACGTTGATTACGTGCTCTCTCGTGGTCCTTGAAAGATGTCGACCATCGACAAGATGTTGATCAAGGGTATCCGGAGCTTCAGCCCGGAAAACAATGACGTGATTATTTTCTTCAAGCCGCTCACCCTCATAGTAGGGTCTAATGGAGCAGGGAAAACGGTAGGCCTTCTCTCTCTCTCTCTCTCTCTCTCTCTCTCTCTCTCTCTCTCTCTCTCTCTCTCTCTCTCTCTCTCGGCCGTGCTCTCCCGCACTGCGTCTGCTTTTCTTCTCCCTAAACCCTAAACCCTCTTCGTCGTTTTTTTTCCTTCCCTACCTAGGCCATAAGGAGTAGAACAGACGGGAATAACAAGAAAAGCGAGAAGAAATGAAATGAAACAGCGAGGCCAATCGCTATGCGTCCATGTCTCAACGAAGAACATTGAAGCTCCTACACGGACAGTCTGCTCCACGCGCACATTCCCCGACGCGTTTCGCCTGGTTGCGCACCAGGACTTATCAAGGGGCAACCACACTCCCGCATCCACCGTAGCAAACCACCCAGAGCAAAGAGGGCCTTTCCGGCCTTGCCCTCCAAGGATATAGTTGACACAGTCTCCACGTCTGCAGAAGAAGAACAAAAAAAGAACAAATGGCCATAGAATGCTTCTCATCGACAAGATATTTCAATACTTCTCCGCATGTACCGTTCTCAGTTGAAAACGCGCAAATTCCCCCGACGCGTTTCGGCCAGGCTGCGCTCCTGGCACTCTTCAGGGGGCTTCTCCACAGATTCGCCTTACGGCACCACCCAACATTCCAACCAGTCTGAGAAGAAGAAATCGGGACAGGAGTGGGAGGCGAAATTAGCCTTGGAAGGAGAATGGAGGCAGGGGACAAATGAGGGAAGACGAGGACGAAGGTGATGGCGGGGAGGAGGATGCGTTGCGGACGACATCAATATGAGGAGCAGCGAACAAGGAGGAAGACAAGAAGGCGGAAGAGGAGAGGTGGGGGGGGCGGGGGGGGAGGCAAATGCGGGGTGAACGAAGCGCAAGGGTTATTCTTTGGGTGGGTAGTAACATGGTGTAGTGGTAAAAAGGGAGAAAATAGGAGTAGAACAATACGTTTAAACAGGGGNGGGGGGGGGGGGGGGAGCAGAACGATAATGATGATGATGATGATTGATGTTGATGGTTGATGATGATTAGGAGGAGGAGGAGGAGGACGAAAAGCAAAGGGAGACCTGCGTTGGCTGGGAAGAGGGATGGCAGGCCACTGAGAGAAAGATGGTGATGATCGTATCAGAGGAGGAGAAGATGAGGAGGAACGTGGATAGTGATGATGAGGATAAGTCCGAGGAGACGAGGAAAAGGCTAGAGGAGCAAAAAAGTGGTGAAGATGAGCAGGTGGATTGAGCGCCTGAAATTTGCGATCTGCGCCCGGTCTCTTGTGTCACTCCCTGCGGCTCGCCAGATCCTGCCGCCGTCCTCCCCCGAATACAACGCGGGGTGACATCATCGATGTCACGGTGATCTCAAGTCGAGGAAGAGCTGTGGGCAGAGCAAGCCGCCGTCTTCCCCGAACTCAACGATCGTAAATGTATCAAACCGGAAAGTCGTCTTCCCCCCAACACAATGCACCCTCAGCATGACTGTATCAGACCGGAAAGGTAGCTTGTATACATCGTCTCGTCTTTTCCCGAGCACAACACGCCCCGTTGTCGAACACATCTGTGCGAGAGTCCACTACCAAAAGAAAAATACAACTACCGTCTTCCCTCGAACGCAAGGCACCCTCATCATGACTTGTATCCAGCCGGAAATGTAGCTTGCATACTGTTCGTATGGATCGGGGAGAAGAAGGTAGGTAGTGGAATCTCGGCGGCCTTTTATCTTTCTTCTCGGGTCGGCAATATAGATCGTCGCAATCCCGACGCTGACGCTTAGGGGTTGCCACGTTAGACCGGCGGAGAACCTGAGATCACGTTTTTCATCGGTGTTGTCATCGTCGCGATCTCGACCCAGTTGCCCATCTTTAACCTTGATTCGTGGTCGTGTTATCCTGGTGTTGATGACCAGATTCCATTCGTCACGCGTCTTGTCACGCGTCTTGTCACGCGTCTTGTCACGCGTCTTGTCACGCGTCTTGTCACGCGTCTTGTCACGTCTTGTCACGCGTCTCGTCACGTGTATCATCGTGACAGATCTCCACTTTTCTTCCGCAGTCCTTTTTTTTTTTTTTTTTTTTTTCTCCTTTGTTTTTTGCCACGTGTATTATGACATGTGCATATTCCAGGTGTTGTCATCGTCGCGATCTCGACCCAATTGCCCATCGTTAACGTCGATATGTGATCGTGACATCCCAATGATGATGACCAAATCCCATGTGTCACCGTCTTGTCACGCGTCTTGCCACGTGTATCATCGTGGCCGATCTCCACTTCTTGTCCACACTCCCCTGTGCCTTACCACGTGTATAATGACGTATATTCTAGGTGTTGTCATCGTCGCGATCTCGACCCAATTGCCTATCCTTAACCTTGATATGTGGTCTTGAGATCCCAATGATGAATGACCAGATTGCATTTATAACTGTCTTGTCACGCGTCTTGCCACGTGTATCGTCGTGACAGATCTCCACTTCTTTTCCACACTCCTCCGTGCCTTGCCACGTGTATCGTGACATCGCGATTATGATGATCGTATTTGCATGTATCACCGTCTTGCCACGTGTCTTGACATTTTTTCTTGCTATTTCTTTGTTTCTTTTTTTCATTTTTGTTTGCTATTTTTTTGCCGCTTGTCGTGGCCTTTTTGGTTGCCATCTGTCTTGCCGCGTGTCTTGTCGTGCCACCTGCATCATCTTGAGATTCCAACGTGTCGCCGTGACACGTGGCATGCTGCCACGGTGCCACGAGTATCACGGTGCATCATGTGCTATGATCATCGTGATTTTTTTAACGTGTCCCACCGCCTTTTTGTTGTTTTTTTTGGTCCCTTGTTAAAGGGCGACAGCCTTGAGATGTGATCGTGGAACTCACCGGGAACTGTTAATTGAAGAATTCCATTCATCTCGTTCCATCCGCAGTCGAACTCACGTCTCTATTTCAACAAACAGTTGGTATAAAAAAAAGAGGGGGGTGTATCAAGTGAGTTAGGCGGTTTGGTATTCCCGCCCTTCTTTTTTTTTTTTTTTTAAGAAGGAAAGGGCGACGGCCGTGAAAAAATAAATAAATATATCTCATTGGGCGACGGCCGCGAGAAAAAAAAAAAAAAAATCTCATTGTCCAACTGACCGACCCCAGGTTCTTCAGAATTATTACTGTAGTTGATTTTATTCATCTGGTTCCATCATCTGGATTCGAACTCAGGTCTGTATTTCAACAAACAGTTCATGGGTGTAGCAACTGAGCTAGGTCAAAAAATAAAAGGAAAAAAAAGAGCTAGGTCAGCTGGTGGTACCTCTCTCCATTTGTCACTGTGACATCTTCCCAATTTGTCATGAGCTCGCCATCGCCACGTGTACATTCCCGGTCGCGACTTGTTCCAACGTGTCGAAGTAGCGTGGCTTTTTTTTGTAATTTTTCTGCTTTTATCCTCTTTTTTTTTATTTTATTTATTTATAAATTTTAAGAAGAACGACGGCCCTGAGATACCATCGTCGAACTGACGGGCCCCAGGTAAATTCAGAATTATTTAACTTCATTCAACTGGGTTTGAAGTCAGATCTGTATTTCAGCGGATGATTGGTGTTATACCTTTTTTTTGTTTTTGTTTTGTTTTGGGAAAAACGAGGATCATGAAACAACCATGAGGCCGGGAATTCCTCACAAACAACCCGGAAATGAAAAACATGCACCACTGGGACCATTACCCAGGATAGGTTGTGGGTTTCACCCCAACGACACTTGGCAGAGCCAACTAACAAACAGGAAAAAGCCTAAAGGAAGAATAAAAGACAACCTGGTAACTCAGGCTGTCGAAGCAACCATAATAAAGCATACCTCAAAAGCCAGCATTCAACCAAGCCTTGGCAGGCCTACTCTGCCAAGGGACAAACAGTAAATAAAACAAGCACGAAATTCAACACACAATATCACCCTGGCATGGTTTCCCAGCCGGGAAAGAAAACATGCCAAACAAAAATCGTGAAAACAGACGTCCAGACCGTTGATCTCCTATACTAGTCTAGCAATCTAACAAGGGTAACTCCCCTCCAATTCTCTGCCTATATCGGCAGAGTGGACACTACGGTCCACCTACTCCTGGACACTCTCTGTACCCCCATGTCCCTCTTGCCTCCTACTGCGGGTACTGTAACCGAGTGTCCTGGTTATCTCCTAAGTTCCCCTCAATACTCCTCCCCTCTTACCCTATTCTGCTCCTACGTAACTACTCTGTTATACCAATTGAGCCAGGCTCGCTGGTGGGGGCCATTTTTTATTTGCCATCGTGGCATTCCTTTTTTTTTTTTTTTTCTCCCCCAATCGTGGGATTCCGTTTGGGGTCATCTTTCGTGATCACGATCTAGCTCCTTACTTTCTTTGTTTGTCTTTTTTTTTTTTTTTTCCCATCGTTGGATCCCCGTCCACTTGTCATCCTGACATCACCTTATGCGATCACGATCTAGTTCCCTTTTTTTTTTTTTTTTTTAATATGGACCATTTCTCGATTTGCGGAGGTTATCCACGAGCCGGGGCCATGCTAATAACCTTCTCTTCTCTGTATGGTTCCAATTTTGACGGATGTCACGCTGAAGGACATTTAGCTCCTTTTTTTTGCCATGAAAGTTGATGAAAGTTTCTTTTGTCTTTGCCAGATCCTGATGAGACCCCATGCGTCAGATCACGATTTGTCGTCATGACATCCCATTCGTCTGCTCTCATCATCATCCCTGCCTGATCTGTTGGTTGTAGGAAGAATCTTGGGCGAAGAAGTGTTTTTTTTTTTTGGGGGGGGGGGGGAGGGATGTTTGTGTTCTGAAGCGTCAGCATGGGAGGATTCACATGTTATGCTTCACATGTTATGCCCAAAACTTCATTCACATGTTATGCCCAAAAATAAACTAAGTTATGCCCAAAGAAAACTATGTTATGCCCAAAAATAAACTGAACAACTTTTGCCTCAGGGTGGCCGGGTGAGGGCCAGGGAAGGTCCCTGCAACAAAAAAAAAAATCCAAAAAATTAAAAATCCCCCAAAAAACTACGTAATGCAGAAAGATACAACTGAACCACTTTTGTCCCAGGGTCACGTCGAAATTTTTTACCTCACCGATGGGCTTAGCTCAGCTGGTACACCCAAATGAACTGTTGAAATACAGACCCAAGTTCGTAGTCAGGGCCAACCAGATGACCAGAAAAAAATCATGCTGAATTACCTGGAGCCGGCCAGTTTAAGGATGATGATATCTCAAGACCTTCGCCCTTTTTTTTTGTTTCTTTACCAAATTAAAAATAGACAACAATTTTTTTTTTCTTTCTTTTAAATTACTCTTTCTTGGCCCGGCCGGGCAAGTGGTCCCGGGCCACTTTGGTAGCCTAGGAGGGAACTGATTACGTGGTCCCGCTGATCACATTACCGCCTTCCCCCGAACACAACGCACCGTTATCGTGACTGTACCGGACCGGAAACATGCCTTGTGTACCTACAGTCATCAGCAGGGTGAGTTGTGGTCGGGGGAAGATGGTAGTGGGGAGTTTTCCACTTTTCTTCGTTAGGAGCAACCGGATGATAGGAGCAGCCGGATCCCATTTTGTCCGCCAAAGGAATAAAAACGGAAATAGAAAATTAAACTTTTCTCGTAAGAACTTTTCACTTCTTTCTCCTTCTTTTTTCCTTTTTTCCATCTTGCTGTAAATTTGTGTACAATAAAAATAAAATGTAATTACTAATTATTGAAGGGAAAAAAAGAACACCGGAGAAAATCAGTGAGAGTGTGCCTGACTCCGTATGCTATCGTCACGGTTACGCTGGCCCCACTTTTCAGCAGGTGATGCTCTCCCCTAATTAATAGATTGGAGCCTTCAAATCGGCGTCTCTCGCTCGTTTTTTTTTTTTTTTGGGGGGGGGGGGGGGGGGGGGGGGGGGGGGGGGGGGGGGGGGGGATGGGGTTGTCTTACTCCTGTGGGATGCGCAAGCCTGCAACTTTTTTTTGGGGGGAAGAAAGGATTGCACAAAACAGGTTCTGCTGCCTCTGCCGAAAACGTAATGAGGCGCCAATAAGGCTATAAACTCTCACGTGGACTTTCTCAGACATGAGCCTGGCCACATAGGAGGTCAGATACATCCACAAGGGACCGAAATAGCCTACTGCAATCCCCCCGGGTGAGTAAGGATTTTTCGGGCCAAAGGTCCTGAAGGAAAGGGGAAAGATGGGAGTCGTTAAAAAAAAGGATGGTAGTCGTTTGACTGCAGTTTCCCTGGCAATCACTCGCCTGAGGGCGTACGCACACTAGCTCTATTTTAAATGTATCAGACCGTATTTACGGCTGGACCTGCATGCATCTGACCGCAATCACATCCATAAATAAGTAAAAAGTCCTAGTGTGAGCATGCCCTGAATAAGGGAAACCCTGAAGGAAAGGGGAAAGATGTGAACTCACGCCTTGTTTGCTGTTTGCTGGCCAGATCCTTAACAAGTGTTGAACTCACGCCAACTGTGTGACCTTGGCCTATATCTCCTCCTCTTCCTCCTCTGCTATTGGAAACCTGACCAGAATATGTGTGGGGACTTTAACACACACAATGAGTCCCGCTTCTAGTTTATAGCCACGTCATCGTGTGTACAAAAAACGAGAAAAAGACCGGATTTATATTATACAAGTGGACCCGCCGCGGCGTTGAGAGAGGCACGGGTGTTTTGGGGATCATACACATGCATAGATGCAAAGAAGATCAGTCACGGTTTTGGCATCACAAAGATTGAATGATTGATCGGGGGGATCGATTGAAAACCTCTTCTTTTTGCCCAACAACATCCCTTTGTTTGCGGGGTTGCCCTTCCCGGATGGACTCTGTGTGTGTGTGTGTGTGTGTGTGTGTGTGTGTGTGTGTGTGTGTGTGTGTGTGTGTGTTTCTCGGGAGAGACGGATCACGTCCGAAGGCCAAGCGGCCAATGATGATGGAAGAGTAGATTGCTCTGTGTGTGTGTGTGTGTGTGTGTGTGTGTGTGTGTGTGTGTGTGTGTTT